TTTAATCCTTTCCTCCCACTGAGAGGCTTAGAGTTTGGTATAAGGAATGTGTTAACATTAAATTTCAAATATATAATGTTATGTTAGAAAGCAAACATCGTCTTGAATTTACTTCACCACACGATTTAGAGACTTTTTATATAGAAAGGATAAAATTGAGTAACCCACTTAATTTGTGCAAAATTTTGAATAAACGACACTTAGTAGAAGAGGAACAGAACCGTGCAAAATGAGATGAAAATAGTAAAATTCGTAAATTTGAGCCACTCTTTTATATATATATGTGTGTGTGTATATATATATATATATATATATATATATATATATATATATATTTATATATATATATATATATATATATATATATATATATATATATATTCATTTATATATATATATATATATATATATATATATATTCATTTATAAATATTTATATATATATATATATATTCATTTATATATATATTCATATATATATATATATATATATATATATATTCATTTATATATATATATATATATTCATTTATATATATATATATATATATTCATTTATATATATTTATATATATTCATTTATATTTATATATATATATATTCATTTATATATATTTATATATATATATATATTTCATTTATATATATTTATATATATATATTCATTTATATATATTTATATATATATATATTCATTTATATATATTTATATATATATATATATTCATTTATAGATATTTATATATATATATATATATATATATTCATTTATATATATTTATATATATATATATTCATTTATATATATATATATATATATATTTATATATATATATTCATTTATATTTATATATATATATTCATTTATATATATTTATATATATATATATATATATTTCATTTATATATATTTATATATATACATCCATTTATACATGTATTTATATATATATATATTCATTTATATATATATATATTCATTTTTTATGTATATATATTCATATATATATATATTCATTTTTTATGTATATATATTCATATATATATATATATATTCATTTTTTATGTATATATATTCATATATATATATATATATATATTCATTTATATATATATATATATATATATATATATATATATATATATATATATATATATACGGAGGTACTTACTGGAAAGCGCTCAATATCAGTGATAGAGCTGACGATCGCAAATAGCGTGAAACCCAGGGTCACAAACTCACATCAATCCAAATATATATATATGTGTGTGTGTATGTTTTTTTGGGGGGCAGTAATACATCTAAAATAGATTTTATAAAAAAATGACTGACAAGTTACTTCTTTTAAATCTATACGCACTAAGACCAAAGAAGAAGAAAATACGACACACCCACGTGTGTGTGTGTGTAATTGGGCAGCATATTTTCATTTTAACATGGTTTGTTAGATGATATAGACATATCGCAGTTACAATACCATGTTTTTCTTTTAAGTTACTCGTGATGATGGACTTAGAAGAGGTCGAAAATACTTGGGCTAAAAAGAACTAATGCGCCTGACTTGATGGATTTCATTTCAATATCAAGAAACTATTTAGACAACTTGAAATGATCAACAGAATAAAAAGTAAACAAAATATTATTCAACAAAACACACACACATATATATACACACACACACAGAGTGCGATGGATAAATTGTCTAAATTACGCAAAAATGAAAATAGCGCTGACATCTCATTTTAACAGATATATCTACCAAGATTACACAAAAGTCTCTTGAAATGCTAAAAAATAAATTTATTCAATATAAATGCCGTAGACTTCAAACACGGCCTCAAGACGACTTCGGAATCTCCTGCACCTCTTCTGGACGGTCTCCTTGATTAAGTTGTGAATGCTGACATAATTTTTGCCTTCAGATCATCTTTGGTGTTACTAGAAGTTTTATTGGTCTCTCGCTTAACTGCGCGCCACACATAATAATCAAGTCTGACAGCTATGACTGGGTTCTCCTGCTTGTGTGGCATGGTGCAAAGTCCTGTTGCCAGACATAGCGTCTTCCAGCAGCTACTCTCTTGGCCCAGAGCAGTACTACCTCCTCAAGACACTTGATGTAGGCCTTCGTGTTGAGTTTGAGGCCCTCACCAACAAATATAGAAGTTCTTTTCTGTCAGAACGATCATTTTCCGAGCTGCCGTATCTTCGTAATCACTATTAAACTCAAACTATTTCTGAATCCTTTGCACTGTCCCCAAATTGACACCCAAACAATCTGTTCGTAATAGATCTTTTTTTTTTTTGCACAGCAGTACAGCATGACTTTTCCAAACGGCGCCCAACTGATCCTGTTATACTGCGCAGTCGACAAAATCAATAACAAAGCGCATGGGTGAAGTTTATATATATATATATATATATATATATAAATATAATTAAGTAATTCTAGAAGAATCTCCAACAGAATGCAGAAAGAACTGGATGACCGTTTCGTCCTATATTTGGGACTGCATCAGTAGTGCGCATCCATTACCGAGAATCGAACCCGGATCGTTAAGATAGACGCAAACGTCATACCAACTGTACCAATGGTTCTCAGTGTCGATATATATATATAGCACCGCTCTTTACTAATTCTGTGGTGTAACTCATCCGTTTCCCTTACCCAAGGAACTGTTACCCCACGAGCCACGTCTTCCGGTTCAAGCAAGGATATTCAAGTAGAGATATTATTAGGAGGATTTAAAATATGATTTAATATTCATCGAATCTAAAAGAATACTCAACAAACTATATATGTGTGTGCTTGTGTAATACATAAAAGGTTGATGGTCAGAGTTGAATTGGACCAGTGAACAGTAGTATTAAAAGTGTTCAATGCATATATGAAAGATTTTTTTAAAGTAACATGTAGCGCTTTTAACTTTAAAAATTAGGAGAACATTTGATATCGCTGACTTGGTTTCAACCTTACGGTATCTTCAGGCGGTTTTTATCATTTGACCTCCCAACGCTTTTAGAGCCGGAAAGGTTACTATTGCTAATTTTTCCTGTTGGCAGAGGATGCAAATTTTATCATGGTTGATGTAAGGCTTCGACTTTTGAAAAAAAAATCCATCTTACAGTTGGATCCCTGTTGTTTTCTTCTTTTAAATTCCAAGCATGTTTAGCTAGTTAGATAGCGAAATTAATTAATTTTTTAAAATATATATATATATATATATATATATATATATATATATATTATATATATATATATATATTAACGTATGCTATATTTAGGGTCAGTATCAAGGACAGAGCGTATGTAAATATAGAAGATAAAATTGAAGTCAAGACCTAGAGTCTGCTTCATGAGTTTGAGGCCCTCACCAACAAATATGAACACAGATTGAAACAGATTGTTACCTCTGGGCAGAGTCTCGCTTTTTTTACGGGGAATATTTGCCCGAGCCTACGGGATCGGATACCCCACGTTGACTTCGGCCTTGTGCCACACCTGACCGCTTGGGGCGGTTGGCAAATGTCTTTGCTTCGGCAATTAATTGGAGATTCGTCTCCAGCTTTGCTGATCAAACTCTCTGACTTCGGTCAGAGAGGAACCCAGACGAGGCGATGCCAATAGGCAGAGTCTCGTCTAGGGTGGTAGACAGCTACCCGACCCCGTGTATACGGCGTCTGCAGGAATTTTTGCCCGAGCCTATGGGCTCGGTTTTAACCCGAATTAAAAATTGACCTTGTGCCACGCAGGGAACTAAATTAAATATCCATGCTTTGGGAATTACTGTCCTGCTAACCGATTCCCCGTCGTTCAGTAGTGTATTCTCATTTACAATAAAACTCTTTCTTTCATCTACGCCCGTATTGCTGTTCCTTTCACTTGAGTACCACCTTTATCTGTTTTTAACCTTTTTAGGGTACAACACACACACACACACACACACACACATATATATATATATATATATATATATATATATATATATATATATATATATATACAAAACACAGGGATTGCTGAATAATAGTCCGTTCGGCTAAGAAGGGGTTTTAAAATTTCTGATGATTTGTCAGATTTGTATAAATAGATCAAGCCGAAATCTTTTCAGCATACGCTCATATTACACACACACACACACACACACACATATATATATATGTGTGTGTGTGTGTGTGTATATTCTTGATATTCATGTATATATCTTTATATATATATATATATATATATATATATATATATATATCTTGATATTCATGTATATATTTATATATATATATATATATATATATTTGATATTCATGTATATCTTTTATATATATATATATATATCTTGATATTCATATATATCTTTATATATATATATACATATATATATATATATATTTGATATTCATATATATTTTATATATATATGTACATATATATATATATATCTTGGTATTCATGTATATATCTTTATATATATATATATATATATATATATATCTTGATATTCATGTATATATCTTTATATATATATCTTTATATATCTTTATATACATACGTATATATATCTTTATATATATGTGTGTGAGTGTGTGTATATATATATATATATATATATATATATATATATATAATGTGTGTGTTTATACTCTCTTCTTCCTTCATCTGTCTTTATGGCTTGACTTCCTTCCGTCTCCAGGCTGTCGTCATGATGTCTATAAAGAACACAACGTACACTTTTTTTTTTTTTTTTGCTTTTTTCTTTGTTTTTTTTTTTTTTACATTTTGGGAGGGTGAATTTTATTGGCATTTTTTTTAATGCCTTAAGTTTTCAGTTTCTTACACAGAATGTGCAGCATCTCGTAAGAGACAGCATCTAATTTCCATGACGAAGATTGTTCGCGCCAAAGCTGCCGTAATTGTCGGCATCTTACGAAGATTGATCGCCGAAAGAATTTGCCTGATAAAAAAAATAATGACGCTTATATAAATAAACTAAATCTCGAAAATAAGTTCCCACCCTTATAATATCTATCTATCTATCTATCTATCTATCTATCTATCTATCTATCTATCTATCTATCTATCTATCTTAGTCTCTCCATTATCTATCTATCTATATATCTATCTTATTCTCTCCAGTATCTATCTATCTATCTTAGTCTCTCCATTATCTATCTATCTATCTATCTATCTATCTATCTATCTATCTATCTATATATATATATATATATATATACAGTTAAGCTTTGTATTTAATTTTTCTTGTATTTGAATAAGTGTTTTCTTTTTTGGACACAGCGTGTGTAAAAACTGTCCAAATGTTTTATAGTTCCAAGCGCATTCCGCTATACTTTTAGCCATTATTCTTTTCCGAACACAGTTAGCACATTGTGGCCTTGTTCGTAGTTAAGAGGTGTTTTTTCCCTAATAATGATGGTTCTTTTTTCTTAATAATAAAAGAAAGAGAAAGCCAATTCTCTTTTATACTCTTTTTTCTTCTCGAAAATCGGGAAATAGTTCTCTGAAATTCTACACCGAGCATGTCAAAACTCTTTCCCGTTCACGGTTTTCGAAGAAGGCCTGCGAAATAAAAACGCCGAAATCACAATGATGGTTTTATGTTTAAATCATCGGCGAAACAAAATTACACAAAACAAGAATTTAACAATACCGCGTCTTTCCCGAATATGTGAAGGATGTCAGTATAGATTATTCTATAATCTTTCCCGAATATGTGAAGGATGTCAATATAGATTATTCTAATGTCATTCCCGAATAAGTGAAGGTTGTCAGTATAGATTATTCTAATGCCTTTCCCGAATATGTGAAGGATGTCAGTATAGATTATTCTAATGTCTTTCCCGAATATGTGAAGGATGTCGGTATAGATTATTCTATAATCTTTCCCGAATATGTGAAGGTTGTCAGTATAGATTATTCTAATGCCTTTCCCGAATATGTGAAGGATGTCAGTATAGATTATTCTAATGTCTTTCCCGAATATGTGAAGGATGTCAGTATAGATTATTCTAATGTCTTTCCCGAATATGTGAAGGATGTCAGTATAGATTATTCTAATGTCTTTCCTGAATATAAGGATGTCAGTATAGATTATTCTAATGCCTTTCCCGAATATGTGAAGGATGTCAGTATAGATTATTCTAATGTCTTTCCCGAATATGTGAAGGATGTCGGTATAGATTATTCTATAATCTTTCCCGAATATGTGAAGGTTGTCAGTATAGATTATTGTAAGGTCTTTCCCGAATATGTGAAGGTTGCTGAGCAACTCTAACAGATCTTTGTGGCGTAATTTATAAAGCACAGTTACATGTCCTTGTGCATTTGCATTACTCTTTCTGATTTTATTGGCATTTTTTTTAATGCCTTAAGTTTTCAGTTTCTTACACAGAATGTGCAGCATCTCGTAAGAGACAGCATCTAATTTTCTGATAACATTCTGAGCACGAATATCACGTTCCTTGTTACTCACAGGACAGATTGAAGGATAGAGGAAAACATCATACTTGATGAGTTTGAGTAAATTTAGGATTTGGGAGAAATAACAAAAAGACAAAACTTATTAAGAGCTACAAAAGACAAGAACATGTAGAGCGCCATGATCGACTACGTCCTGAAGGGACACGGCATATAAAAGAAGAAACTGCGTATAACTGACCTACTATGAAAAAACTTAGAAAAGATTTTACAAAAAATATATAACAACGACAATGGGTGCGATTGGCAAAATACAAAACCCTTAACACATCCTAGCAACCAATAATGGACCCTTCGATGGACCCTTCCTTCAACATGGCATTTGCAAGATAAAAAGAAAAGCGCCGTAGAATCCAATAATATTTTATAAAGTGCTATGGTTGAATGAGATCTTTGCCTGACTTTTGGGGGTCATACTTGTCATTTATTCAATTCGTGGGCTACTGGCTTCAGAAATCGTTTGGGGGAATGAGAGAGATAACCAAAAAACAAACAACATGAACGTCGGGTGCTCTTTCTGCCATTACACGGGTTACTTTCCATGGATAACAGTCAGTTGGGAAACATTGTATACTGACTAACAACTACTTAGAAACTCCTTGTGGGTGAACGTATTATCAGTATATATAAAACGCAGTCACTCTCCGCCATCATGACGAGTGGTTGCTAGTTTCCTAAGACACCCGTCTAGCAGGAAGCTAACAATTCCCTGTTATAGACGGCAGCTCAGCCAGCGGAGTTCGCATGTGGTTTATACTGCAACTATACTGATCAGACCTAAATTACAGTTTGGGAGGGGATAATCTAACGTGAACAATTTTTTTTTCACACCCTCAGTCAAGATGACTTATGACTTCGTGCTAGGACAACCCTTGACGTCCTCTGAAATGTTACGTCTTCCTAATGTCACTCACAAGACTTGGGTTAACTGGTGTTATGCGTTTCTTTCGTAATGTGCCACTCGCTGGGATTGCCCCAACCCAGATTGATATTATCAAGAAGCCACCATGGTGGGATTCGAACCTGCGTCACATGGCCAGACAGTAAACTCGACACTCTCTCTCTCTCTCTCTCTCTATATATATATATATATATATATATATATATATATATATAAGTTTTATATATATAAATAGTTTATATATATATATATATATATATATATATATAGTAGTTTATATATATATATAGTTTATTATATATATATATATATATATATATATAAATATTTATATATATATATATATAAATTTATATATATATATATATAAAGTAGTTTATATATACATATATATAAGTAGTTTATATATATATATATATATATATATAGTTTATATATATATAAGTAGTTTATATATACATATATATATATAAGTAGTTTATATATATATATATATATATATATATATTTATATATACATATATATATATAAGTATTTATATATATATATATATATAAATAATTATATATACATATATATATATAAGTAGTTTATATATATATATATATATATATATATAAATAGTTTATATATATATATGTATATATATATAAATAGTTTACATATATATATATATATATAAATGTATATATGTATATATATAAGTAGTTTATATATATATATATATAAGTAGTTTATATATATATATATGTATATATATATATAAATTTATGTATATATACATATATATAAACTACTTATATATATATATATATAAATAGTTTATATATATATATATATATAAATTTTATATATATATATGTATATATATATAAGTAGTTTATATATACATATATATATATATATAAGTAGTTTATATATATAAGTAGTTAGAGAGAGAGAGAGAGAGGGGCATGTTTTATTGAATAATTTAGACATGTTCTGTCTACTTATTTTCAATAGGATCCTTTCTTATTCGCGGATAAGCTTTTTTGGTGTCGTTTTTGAAAGACGAGAAAAAATCACCATGTTGATACATATTTCTTTTATTTCTTTTGTCTTTCAATAATGACGCCTAAATGCTTGTCCGTAAATATGAAAGGATCCATTTGAAAATAAGTAGACAAAACGTGTCTATTTATTCAATGAAACGTGTCTCAATATATTATTATTATTATTATAAATATTAAGCTTTTTGGGGATCTTATTAAAAGTGTACCAGCATGCGCGTTACTAAAAGTTTCACGTTAATAAAATAACCAGACATTTAGTAAACTAGGTTCTATGTAAGACATATCAGTAACTTACGTGCTTGGTATGTTTGTAACAACGTAGTCTTTACACTCGACTTGGTTCTGTCTAAAAAATATTAAACATTATATTTTTAAAAAAGTCAACATGAGTTTATTTCGATGAATTGTATTTCATTATCTGTCTCTATTTCTGAGATGAGGTATTGTAACTATTTATATTGGTTCAACTGTTGTCCTCATCTTAGTTTCAGTTATTTCCCTCAACCGTTTAAGTTTTTGTTCACCTCTGCCGTGGACGGGTATTGAACACAGAACTCTTTAGGTCATGTCATTAAATTACTTCAACCAACGCTTTTATCCACTAGGCCATCTGTCTTTGTTTACATTACCTTGCCCCGGCAGAGGTGAACAAAAACTTAGTGAGTATTCAATGCACGGACGAATGGTAGATTTGTAAATGTGCAAGATGGAAATCTTCTGGCACGACACAGATGCTGTTGTATAAGACGTATGCTCTTATGTCTACTAAAACTTAGCGCTATGTACACATGACACGTATATTCATTTTCTTTTACTCTTTAGTTTTTATTCTTTGTCTACAAAGATAATCCGAAATATAAAAATGGTTCCCGCTTCTAATTCAAATGTCAACGTTTCAACCCTAACAATTTTACGAGCGATCATTTTCATTGTCAGACCTTCAATGCTATCGCCTACCCTGTATGAATTTTTACTTTTTCTTTTTTACCTCTACTTTCTTGTCTTCTCGCTTTGTTGCTTACCCTTTTCTTCTCTTCATCTCTTTCTTTTCTCTTTCTTCCCCATTTTTAATTTCTTTCTTTCTTTCTTTCTTTCTTTCTTTCTTTCTTTCTTTGTCCTCTCTTTGTTTTTCTTTCTCGTTCTTTCTTTCTTCGTTCAAGTTATTCATCGTTTTTTCTTTAACGCCATCCTTTCCATTTTTATTTTTCCTTTCTCTTCCTCATTTTTCTTCTCACTTCTCGGCTTTTCTTCTTCCTTTCCGCTTTTCTTTATTCTTTCTGTTTCCTTTCTTCCTTTTTGTTTTTCTTCTTAACTTCTGTTTTTTTTTGTTTTGTTTTTTTGTTTTGTTTTTTAATTCTTTGTCGGTATTCTTGTTCTTTCTGTTTTTCTTCTTCCTTCCGGCTTTTCTATATGCTTTCTGTTTTCCTTCTCCGTCCTCAGATTTTCAACTTCCTTCCCGTTTTTCCTCCTTCCGCTTTTCTTCTTTCTTCTCGCTTTTCTACTTCCTTCCCGTTTTTCTTCTTCCTTCCCGTTTTTCATGTTCTTATTCCTTTCCGTTTTTCTTTCTTCCGCTTTTCTTTATTCTTTCCGCTTGTATTCTTAATTCCCGTTTTACTTCCTTCTTTAACTTTTCGTTTTTCTTCTTCCCTTCCTTTTTTTTTTTTTTTCATTTGCTTTCTTCTATCCATTTTTTCTTCCTCTCGGTTTTCTTCTTCTTCTTTCTTTCTTTCATTCTTTCTTTCTTTCTTTATTCTTTCCCGTATTTCTTTCATTCTCCCCGTTTTTCTTCTTTACTTTTCTTTTTTCTTCTCGCTCCTTTTCTCTTCTTTTTCTTTTCTATATCTTTCACGCAAGTTTTAATTGTATTTCTCAACTTCGCTTTTTCTTTCCTTCCTTTCCATTTCACAACCTCTTCATCTTATTGTTCGCTTTTTCATCGACCTTTCTTTTTTTCTCTCCAAGCCATTATTTCATTTCCTTCCTTCGCCTCCATTTCGTCTACGGTGCCTTCTTTTTGGAAATCAAACCTTTTCCTCATTCCACATATTTTTAATTCGATAAATCTCCTTGAATGTTTTTACCTTCCATTCTGCTATTGCTTTTTTTTTATCTTCTTTTTCTTTCTTCTCTTTTTCTACGCTCTGTTTATCTCTCTCTTAGTTTTTGTTAAGCCAATGTCATTGTTTACTGTGTTCTGCAAACGAATTGTATTGCAATCTGCTAATAAATGTCTCTACCCCCACGTGCTTATTTTACCTGATGTTTACCTTTCTCTGAATTCTGTAGACTATCAGTTCTTACCTCTTTTGTTTTTGTTTAATTTTCTTACGTTTTCGATGTGTCTTCCTTCTCGCTTTTCTTTCTTCCTCATCGTTTTCCTTGTTAGTTCTCGCTTGTCTACTGCCTTCCGGTTTTTCATCTTCTTCCTTCTCGTTTTCTTCTTTCTCATTTTTCTTCTTCTTTTTCCTTCTCATTTTTCTAATTCCTTCCTGTTTTCTTCTTCTTCCTTCTCATTTTTCTATTTCTTTCCCGTTTTCTTCTTCTTCCTTCTTATTTTTCTTCTTTTTCTTCTTTCTCATTTTTCTAATTCCTTCCCGTTTTCTTTTTCTTCTTCCTTCTTATTTTTCTTCTTTCTCATTTTTATACGCCCTTCCCGTTTTTCTTCTTCATTCCTATTTTTCTTTCTTCCTCCTCATTTTCATTCTTGCTTCGCGGTTTTCAACTTGCAGTTTTTCTTCTTCTTTCTCGTTTTCCTTCTTTTTCCTCATTTTCCTTCTTATTTCTCGCTTATCTACTTCCTTCCCGTTTTTGTAAGTTCTTCCATTTTGATTTTTCTTCTTAGTTCTCATTTTCTTCTTCCCTCCCATTTTTCTTTAATCTTTCCGTTTTTCTTCTTCCTTCTTGGTTTTCAACTTTCTTCCAGTTCTTCTTTTTTTTCTTCCTTTTTTTCTTCTTCCTTCTTCCTTCTCGTTTTTCTTTATTCTTCACGTTTTCTTTCTTCCTCCTTGTTTTCATTCTTACTTCTCACTTTTTCACTTCGTTCGCGTTTTTCTTGTTCTTCTTCCTGTTTTTCTTCTTCTTCCTTCCCGCTTTCCTTTGTTCTTGCCGTTTTTATTCTTCATTCCCGTCTTTCTTCTGAATTCTGTAGAGTATCAGTTCTTTCCTCTTTTGTTTTTGTTTTATTTTGTTAAGTTGTCGACGTCTCTTTGGTAGGAATGTAAAACGCTATGCTAGAAAAGAAATAACAATTAGAAAATGCTAATAAACAAGAAATTGTTAGCTGGGAGCTCATCTTGAACCAGCGCCTTCGTGATTGGCAGTCTGAAGTGTTGCTGTTACACATTCCGTTTTTTATTGTCGATGCCTTTACTTTTGGGCTTCCTTCACCGCTCTCGTCTCCACCCAAAAGCTTCTTTTTTTTTTGTCGGGGTGGGGTCTTTACTTTCTCCGACTTTCTCTCTCTCTCTCTTTTATCGACTCCCCCGACATCATCTCATCACTCACATTTTCTTTTTCATTTGGCCTTTGTCTCTTCATTTTATCTCTTCTTTATCTTTTTCATACATTATTCTCTCTCATTATCTATCTATCTATCTATCTATCTATCTATCTATCTATCTATCTATCTGTGTGTGTGTAACTCTACTAATTCGCTAAAAAAGAGCATACCATGATGAAAAAAAGCTCCAAACTTGATAAAAACAAATTTTTATCATCAAAATGTTTATGCTATTAAGAGGAAGTACCAAAGTATTTTATTATTATTTTTTATTAAATTTTTCAATCATTTCTGGCATTTTTTAATCATTTGCGTCACAAATACTTTCACTGTAATTGCTCCGATGGACTGCTTTCGCTGGTTCCCAGATTTCATGAATTTAAGCGCTCAACAAGGCTGGCATCTCGCTCTCACCCTTTCACTGTTGAAACTGTTAAATTCTACTCCAATAGCTTCATGTTCCGCACTTCTCGCCTGTGGAACTCCTTTTCCTGTTTCCCCGATAGCTAACTATTCAAATGTAATGTCAATCGACGTCTCCAGATGCCCAGATCTATACCCTATCCTTCTCTTCATCTTTTCCTCTATCACTCCTCTTTGCTCTCGCTCCAACTCTCTGTAAACCCATGCGTGCTAGTGGCTTCCCGCCTTGCTTGGGGTGAAAGGCATAATATATATATATATGTATGTATGTGTGTGTGTGTGTGTATGTGTGTGTGTGTGTGTGTAGAATGTATGTTTGTGTCTCTGTTGCATTGGCTAAAATGTGGGGGAAATGGGAGTGAAAAGATTATATAGCACCAGTCTAAACATGAAAGGTCTGCCTACATTGAAAGCCATTACTACCGTAGTGAGATCATTCTTCTCCGAGCTCGATCTTAAATGGTAAGGTAGACTTGGATATCTAGCCTTGGATGTCAGCCAGTGTAGGTGAAAACTACACTGAAGGCCACCGAAAATCACTCTATCTAAAAGTTAGGACAATTCGCAGCGAATAAAGAAAGGAATCTGTGGCGATCCATGTTCGCCTACATTGTAAAATGCGCATAGTACCCGTCAAAACAGACGGGGTTATTTACTCATTGCAAACAGAGAAAAGGGAGAGGTCTGAAGTCATAGTGAGAGAGGATAAAAAGAAGAAAGTAATGAAAGAGTATCACAATGAAAGAAGGAAAAAGGAGAATCAAATAGTGTTGCCTATGTCGTTTTTACTCGTGAACATATATGTATATATTTGTATCAGAATATCATTATTATTAGTAGTAGTATTATTATTAGTAGTATTTACCCTACGTCGTATGAGTTGTCCCTAAGCCTAAATTAGGGCTTACGTCCACATCACGTTGAAACACCGATTCCTGATCAGTACCCAGATGGGTGGTTGCTTGGAAATACCAGGTGCTGTAAGGTTGGATGTGCGGGTGGTGTAATGGATAATGGCTCGTAATTGTTAAACGGAGAGCCGAGTTCCAATTCGAGTTGGGTTCGTTATATTCACTCACGCGCAAATAGTTTTCGATTTCTCCTCAGATTTCCAATACTTTGAAATACTTTCTCAAAACTATTCCGAGTACGCTGAGGATGATGGGTACAAGAGTTATTCTCAGTTGGGTTTGCTATATTCACTTACGCACAAATACTCTTGGGAAAGGTATGAATCCACCTCTTCTTCCCCATATATGGACTAAGTAGTAAAAATTGTATCACTAAATCATCATTAACTCAAAAAAAAATCCTACAATGTAAAAAATATTTTTCCCGCTTTAAATAACCTGCAAAGGGTTGATAAGTCGTAAAAAATGAATCAATCAATCAAACCAGGTACAACCCAAAGACTTTAAGAGAAAAGCCTTTTTGTATCAGAAGATACAAACAGATGTGGTGTCATACAATGAGTGAGAAAAACAATGTATTTTGTGGACAGTGCTTGGAGAGAAATCTCCGCCAGATGTCAGAAGTGCGCATGTTTATGTTTCATTGCAATTCGCATATTTTCGGACCGCCAGGAATTTGATCCACATATTTCTTTACTCTTTTCTTTTGTTTCTAATAAAAGAAGTTAAATAACATATTTACATATGTTTATCTATATTTAGTGCAAGAAGTCTATAATTTAATTGTCTAATTTTATAATTTATTCCACAAATAAACATTCTCTCAATAGGAGTAGATAGGTTTGCCTATGGTCTGGCTCACGCTCCTCCTCGATCATTTGAACAGGAGTAGAGGTTTATCCCTGGTTCCTTTTTAGGATTGGGTTCCCGGTTCCTTGTAAAGCAGTGGTTCCCAACCAATTCTGGACCATGACCCACTTTGGTATTTCTAAAATCCCACCCCCCGTAATATTTAATTCTTACATATTCAAAATTTTATTGCAATTCACGTGAAGAAAGTTTAAAAGGCCATTAACTTGGTCTCTAAACAAGCCTCCAAAAACCGTGGCGTCCATGAAAGAGAAAAATTTAAAAATAAAAACGCAAATATATATATATATATATATATATATATATATATATATATATTCAAAACATATAACAGAGAACTGAAAGGCAGAAATATAAAATATTTGAATGGAAGTTTATTCTGTAATGTACTTTGATCATTTTAATCATGAAATAATAATGCAAAATGAAATTTGAGCTCAAAATGACTGTTAGTAAGATCCTTGTGTGTCATGCCTGCTACAGATAGATTTTATACTAAGCACCAAGTTTAGTCAACTTAAGCCTCAAGTCTCCTCGTTTAGTGATATCCAGTCGATTTCTCTTTTTTTTTTTCTTTTTTTTTCTTTTTTTTTCAATAACAAATCATTTACAGCACTAAAGCCACATTCAGTTAAATATGAAGATGGAAAAGGTAGCAACAAATTTCTTGCAACGGTGATTGAATATAGATATTTAGTTACTGTCTCATCATAAAGCCATGTCATCACTCCTTTTAGCTTGAATAAAATTTTAGCAGGTTCATCATTTTGCATACTTGGTTCTTCTTGGTATTGTATTGAAATATCAGAAATATCCACTAGCATTAGCTGCATCACCATGTCAGAAAATCAATTTGTTTTAGATCAGAAAGAAGGGTGCTTATCCTACGCATGTCTCACCAAAATATTACCATGCCCTACCGTTGGGGCATGCACCCGACGTTGGGAATTATTGTTCTAAAATCTTTTTCTTTTCTTCCATTTTGTGCGGCCCCTTGTGTTTGGTGGCATTATCCCCTTGCTTAGGTGATGCCTCTTACGCTGTAAACCTCTAGCTCAAGGGGCTCTTAGGCCTTGTACACTGTTAACATCATTGTAAAAAAAATCTGATTGTACAGAATGTTTATTCTTTCTCACTAAGTATGTGTATTTTTTAATCATTAACTGTAATATATATATATATATATATATATATATATATATATATATATATATATATAATGAGAGCTTAACACGAAAACAAACAAACAAAAATTTTAAGACTTCATCATATCAGCAACCTGGTCATATTGTTTTGCTGACACGAGGCATGTGAGTGGCTGGCATCTGTGTTAACAACGAAACATTTCATTATTTCATGTAGTCAGGCCAGGTTGAGTGACAGATAAACGTATAAAGTCAGATTTTGTTTGATAGTATAGGAGTGATAACCTATTTCCTGCCATATAACACGCACCTTCAATTTGCTGTAGAATACTTAGGGAAAAACTCATAATATCTGACTGATAATTCATTTATATATATATATATATATATATATATATATATATATATATATATATATATAAAGTGGTAATCATACAAAAATTAATTAGTAATATTAATGTAATTAATGGCGAATTCTCTTCAGTAACAAATTTAATAAAGCATTAACTTAATAACAATCCACTGAATGACCCGATCCCTATGTATAAAATTGTTGACAGATGGATCTGGTGTATTTTTGAGAGCAACAAGTACTTTCGAAAACTTCATGTTTTCATCATCAGACTGTAATTTTTTTCATTTACAAATAAAACTCCAAGACGAAAATAAATATATTGTAGACCGAAAGTTGTTTTATAAGAATCTGTTATTTATTAACGGTTATAGATGTTTTCGAAATTAGTTGCTGCTCTAAAAAGTATGTTAATGTTTATATTAAGTCTGTTAGCGAAGAGAATTCGCCATGAATTAAATTAATATTACTAATTGATTCTTTGTATGAATACCCCTTTATGATATAAAATATATGCTACCCAATATATATATATATATATATATATATATATATATATATATATATATAGTGATTGAAAAGTAACTTCCCATTTTAAAATACTTATAATTTGTTTATTAACTATAATTTTTACAAGAAATGGATACGAGAGGTAAGTGTTTAGCATGAGGTCTTATTTAAAATTTGATATGGGCACCAGATTTCGCTGCTAGCTTCTTGAGTCGCCCACGAATCGCGTCAACTGATTTCACCAGGAATTCTTGTAGTATGGAAGACATAACTTCTTGTATTCACCCTTCAAATTCTTCCAAAGCTTTGTTTTGGTATAGTAGACTTACTCCTTTAACCAATATATATATATATATATATATATATATATGTGTGTGTGTGTGTGTGTGTGTGTGTGTGTGTGTGTGTGTGTGTGACGAATCCGTGATGGAGGAGTCTGGCTTGTCAGGCCTAGTCCGAGTGATTAAACATTCAAGTATATCTATTTCAAAGCAACAAAAATCTTTCGTAGTGCGTCGTTTTCATTCTTGACTTCAGCTGGATCCAAAATTGATTGTTTCAACTCTGAAATACATTTCGTTGATATTGTTCATAATAAAGAAGAAAAAAAAAAACAATGAAATAAAATTAACGTGGCTAGTAGGGCTGCGTTGATCTGAGCCCTATCAGGCTGAAGATATACTTAATAGGCAATGTATTTCTTGCTTCAATTTTATAAATAATCTTTTTAAAATTTCTAATGACTTTCAAAGAACACATTTTTATTTCAACTTATTATTTTCAAATGTCCATTTCAAATAATTTATTGTATACATTATTAGGTTTTTAGCGGAATGTATCATTTTAAAAAGTGCAAATTAAATTTAGTTGGCGAAAATCAAAGTGGCAGCCTTAACTCGTCGACTGGAGTGTTGGGGTGAGGAGTGTGAC